TATATTTATTTCAAATCTTACCACATATAATATCATTACCAGACCCTGGTGCAGCGGTCTCTTAAAAATGAACTAAAACCATTTATATAGCTTCAATTAGTAACGCTCTACCATTGGCCTACATGTCAGTTTTTTCTTCCATCAGCTACTCAAATTTTTCTGTTTTTTTGTATTATATAATTTTATCAAATTTGATTGTAGCACTTTGGTATAGATTGTAAAATTCGCACTTAAAAAAATAATAGAACTGATTTTTTTATCAAAGTTTTGTTTTTTTTTTATTGAACTAGTAACTTCTTCGCGTTTGAAAAATGTTACTTAACTTTAAACTTAACTTAAATTGTTTGTATTAACTTAACGAGTTAAAAAAAAAAAACCAGTTAACTTTCCCAGCCTTGCTAATTGACCTTATACATTTATAATTTATAATTCTTTTTTTTTTTTATTTGGGAAAAAAGATTATAATCAAAGGTTATAATCAAACAATAATTCAATCAACGAATAAACTATCTAATATGAAGACAGCTTAACCATAAATTTCATTAGTTTTAAATTTTTTTTTTTAATTTCCTTGAAAATAATTTTGAGGGATTCCAATATAAATTACTCATTATTTATAATATAATACATTAATACCCCATTTATGTTCGATTTAACCAGGCTATATATACGTAGTGCAGCGAATACTGTAAGTCCTCGATAATGAATGTTTCCCGAACTAAACAATAACTAATAACGTACGACAGAATAAGTTAAGCCTCTGCCTACATGTAATTCCCGATCATCGACCAAAACGTCTGATGATTAATCCATCATATTACGATTATATACGTCTATTTGATGTGGCTGCTGCTCTTTTCATAATCATTACTCGTAGTTCATATACAGTCACACTAAGCCCGATGGTTTTCTTGTTTTCGTTTAAGCATCCATAAACGAGTCGATTAATGATGCTTCACAGTTCACACTATATGTTTGCTCGTATAAATTATGTAATTAATAGAGCAGCTGCACTCGTGTGTATTTAACAGCGGTTGCACAATACCTACCACATTATTGGAGATTACTGCAACGACTGCTGCAGTGCTGCGCCATCCTGTCGCTCAGCCTTTTTTTTTTAATGAAGGCTAATAGAGTACAGTTTTTTCAATATTATGAAAAAAATTATACTCTCAAGTACTTCCCTCGTTACTTATTTGTATTAAGTCGAAGTAAAAAGTATCGTCATTAGATGGCTTCTTTTTTCACATTACATACATGGTTTTACATTGTTGGGGAGGGAAGGTAAGACCTATTACACATAAAATGTTAAGTAATTAAGAATATTATTACAGAGTACCATTATGTTCACTATAATATTTGTACTCTTCGATTAAATCTTAATGATTAGAAAATCGTTTCACACAATCCATTGAAATTAAATTTAAAATAAATTAACGATACATAATCCATCAGAACTGGGAAAATATAACTTCATACACCAGAAAAGTTATACTAGTGGCTGAGTATATAGTCTTATTAAAGAAGTAATAATAATATATACATATACAATCTGCAGATATATAGATACACACAGTCAAACATTTAAAACAAACTATAGTAGTTGTTTTGTAACTTTCTTAATTAAGTACTTTATATGTAGCTGTAACTTGAATTAATAATTGATAATATATTATGTTTTAAACCCATTCTTTAGTTTTTATGAAATAGTTTAAGTATAAATGTTATTAAATTAGTTAATGCATTTTTTTCAATTTTTTCATGTATGTTTAACTATTTTCCAGTGCATATAAGTAAAAAAAATACTGATACATCGATGTATATAAATTGTATATTTCTTATGAAAATAAAACAGTGAAAGACGAGCTTCCGTGTTGACCGTGTAGTCAAATGTAACAGAATAGGTAGTACCTATCTACAATAGAATAATAAGATAGATTAACATACTATAATATTATGTTGTTTATGTATTGGTCAACGATTCGACATGCACTTACACACTGCCATACGTACCGATTAAGAATTAAACGGTTTCATATATTTTTTTTTCAAAGCGAGACGGTATATTTTGACAACCACTTCCTACTGTGAGCAGTGTGAGCACACTTTGGTCTATAATCTATATGCTTATATTGCACCACCCAATATAATGTAACTAACAAGTATCTAACGTACCTATATACGCGTGTCATGTGGCCTTGTTGTCATGCCTATAATAATATGACCACACAATGATAGTAATAATTTGTGTAATTTTTATTTCATTAAACGTTTATTCTCGGCCGTATAATATATTGTATTTCTCCTCCGAATCGTGAATCATGTCAATGGTATTTTAAACACATTACACGGGCATAGGCGCCCGCATAAATTTGGGGGGAGGGGGGAGTGATCAAGTTTCTTAATACATACTAATACATAAAATATAATATTTATTATTAACTTGGCTTAAGCTTGGATTGTTTTTAATAGTGACAGTTTTCTTAGTATAACCACTTTCAATTTGTTAAATAATAATTTAATAATTTATTATTATGTGCTCAATAAAAATTAAAGTTCAAACGACAGGGGTGCAAGTTCCCTGGCTCCCTCTCCCCCCCCCTTATCTGGAGGCCTATGTCACAGATGTGAAGCAGAGCTTGAAATCTACTTTAAATAACGATAGAAATCATTGAAAATCATCTAAGAAATTAAAAGTATAATATAAAAATCGAAAAAAAATAGAAATCGACAACATTTAATCTGAAATAATAGTCGTTTTATAGTTTGTACGAGGATATAAACAAATTTATTTAAAGTTTTAAAAAAAATTGATTAAAATTTAATACCCGAAAATAGCTTACAAAATCTATAATTTAAGTAATAATTAATAATTCATAACTAATATTTTGTTTTCTTAGACCTGTTTCATAAGCAAGCGTAACAACTATTATTTGCGGAACGTGTGAATGACGACAGGTTTCTCATAGTTAAAAATTGAAGTGGAGAGTATTATGAAAAGGCATACATGAAGGGTGAAAATATTGCGGAATATATTCATATTTTATTATTAATTATATAGTTAGTAATTATTACCTATCTATACAATTTAATTTTTTTTTTCACATTATGACATTTAAGTTTGTGAAACACATTAAGTATAAAATACATTTTAAATTTTTTCTGTGAGTAAAAGCATAAATTTCAAAAAATGTATTGTTTATTATATAGATAATAGGTTAATGGTGAACCCAAAAGTTAATAATCTAGTGCCCATACAAATTAGTAATTAATTTATAACAAAACATTCTTTCTTACTAATTGTTAAATTATTTGTTTATTTACATAAATGTTAACTACTTCTTAAAGGTTTATAAATTATAATACTTGTGTTGGTACTTTTTTGTCTTTATTAGTCTTTTGAAAAGTTATTTGTCCTGTCACAACTTTTGTAAATTTTAAGGCAATTTGGCCGATAAAAATACTACATTTCCCTTTGTAAAACTGAAATGACACCCCCAAGCAGCAGTCCTGTTAAGAATACTTTCAACTTTATTCAGAATATTTATTTAAATACTCAGTGTCACTTGTATTAGAATATAAATACGAATAAATTTTAAAAGTATTCAAAATACTTAACAAGTTACTTTTTACAACGGTAAAAAAATATTTAGTGTTCTAGAATAAGATACAAATAAAAATTATTTTAATTGCCCATTTAAAATACGCTTGTCAAAAATAATTTGAAAAGTAGTTATTAATTGAAATACCAAAAAAGTATTTAAAAACAACTACTCAAATGCTTAACAAGACTGGCACTAGACTTCTGTAAACCTAATTGTATTGCTTCCATCTCAGAAGTGAATTTGTATAGGACTACACTGTGATCAGATTAAATTCAATAATTCTGCCGTCAAAATTCCGCCACATTTACGATCGACATAAGTAGGTAATTAGTTATAATTATTTGCCTTTCTCTTCATCCTTACCGTATCTCATCGGAGCATATTTCACGAATATCTTGGTGCAATAAAAGAGTTAGTGCTCAAATGCACTCCGTGCAACTTCTGTTGCTTGTTATCATGATAAAAACTTATCATTCAATTTAACAAAATATTCCTTATTGCAAATCATACTAATTTAGGTACGATAAATCATCCTATAGTATTTATCTTTCGTTGCGCTATAATGATGTCATATATCATCATAAAACTGATGGAATTTACAAACTGTATACAATCTATTTGAGTCGGGCATACCGTATAGGCAACTTATTATACTTCAATATTTAGTCTTTCAGACGAAGGCGTATTTGTCTGTAATATATTCTAGGATTAGATGTGTGTACGCTAAAAAACAATAACATAATATGTGTATTGATACATATAGTATCCACTGAATAAGTGTTAAGTATTCAGTATACATATATTATTGTTATACTGTTAAATATACATAATTATGGAAATAAAAATCAAACATTTTATTCATAATATTATGTAATAATAAACATTATCTTTCTTTTTATTATCAAAACATAATAGGTATTTAATTTTTAAATTTAACTTTAAATATTAATATTAAATTTAAAATAAATATTGTTATTAAATCTTTAAATAGTGTGATTCAAAATATATAGGTGGCCACGAGGGTGAGCGAAGACTCTTTATTTTAAAATTATATTTGTTTTTATAATTAACATTTTTTTTTTCAATATATGCGCTGATATTTATAGAATCTTATAATATGCAAAATCCTTAGAAATTTGTAAAATATGCAACATATTTTTTTAGATTTGTGCTGTATACATATTATGAAACGAATTTGCGTCGAATCAGATTTCGAATATGCATTAGGCGAGCGTATGCAGAGTTTTATGCCGGGGGAAGCTGGTGAAAATAATCAATATACAATGTATATCTATCATCTCCACACTCCCCCCTCCCCCTTCGCCATTATAATATCTAACACGGTTATTATATATTATCGCTTTTTTGTGTGTTTCCGGTACCTTTGTAACGCAGTTCAGCGGAGGAGGAACGAGAAGAACTCGCGAAAGTATGACGCCGACTCTCTGCCCAGCTACACGATCGTCACTGGACTGCCCACGTACGACGAGGCTGTGGAGCGCATGAACGGTGGCCACAACTACGGCGGCGCAGCGTCCATCCGCGACAACAAGCCGCCGTCCAAGCACTTGTCCGTCTCCGTGGTTCATATCCGGGATGACGTGCCAACGCCGCCGAAGCCCGACCCCAAGTTCGGGCTGGTGTCGCACAGCCTGTTCGTGCACGACGACGGATGCAGCCACTGCCTGTCCGTCCAGGAGCTGTTGGAGACCTACAACGTGCGATAGGCCTGCTGCACGTCCGCCCGCCACCCCGCCCTCTACCCAACACACCCAACCCCTTCACGCCCATCGCGCCGCCCGATTTAATAATTTTATTTTAATATATTATTATTGTTGCTGTTGATAGAGAATGTGACGCGATGTGACGTGGCAGACGCGCGACGTACACGTGCTGTCGCTTATGATTTTCCGCACAGTTCGCACGCCTAGAGTACAAGTGTAATATATCATAGGTATATTGTTGCCATGTCTTACGTACCACATAATCTAAACGCCGTGTCCAGAGACCCGTGTAAAGCCGATGATATATTATGTCGAGACGTGAGCCACGTACCGGCCACGACAACATTATTGGGATCGTTTTGTAATATTATATATTATTATATGCACTCTGTCGAGATTTCCCCGTCCAGCGTGTGGTGTAATTTCGTATTCTTCCTTCCCGATAAGGTCAAAATACCATCAGAGACTGCTGCAGCGAAAGTTGCAGCACGCATTGTCCAAGGGGATGGCCGATCCCTCGTCGATTCCCCATTGCTGATATTCCCATTTTACAACAGGTATAGCCCTATCGGATACCGTTTAAATTTAGAGCTTCTGTTCACTTCTACAGATCAAGTCTGTTCACAGCTACACTGAAATTCTGCATAGTCGAGCACTCGTTTTCTTAAAATAACATTTAACATTTTTTCATTCGAATTGCTAGTACATACATCAATAATTATGTACTGTTCATGTTTATTCGGACTTCATATTGCGAACCATTAATATTGCTTCAAAGAAAACTCATACACTTAACTTTAAAAACAAATTAGAAAACAGAAAATAAAATATACAAATCATAGACCGATTTGGCTCACGAGGGTGAAGGAGGAACTATATAGATACGTATATATGTAGTATCAGTATGGAAACCAAGTGAATTAACCAACACCCGAAAGAAACACAATAATATGACAAACAAAAACACGGAGAGTGGGTTCTGACAAATTTATATCAATAATTATTAGTTATTATAATACACGAATAGATGAAACCTCGTTTAAGTAATGTAATTTTTAAAACTTGATTGCTGGTAAAAATATCAAACATTATAGTTTTTTTAATAAAATACACCTACTTTTGTTTTATTGCTCCGTCACTAATGCAGCTCGACACACAAACTTACATCAAAAAATCGTCAGAACCCTCTGCGACCGCACTTGGTAACGTCATAGAATTTACATACTAGTCTGTGTTTCTCATCGAAGGATGTTCAAGCATAACTGTTGGATATTAATTGATCATCGGTTTTCAAACGATATTTTTCATCTTCATAAACAGCAAAAAAAATGTCTCATTAGTACGAAACATAATATAATTGCAACAATCGCTGTAACGGGAAATGTCATCGATGGGTTTTATTATAACATATTATTACCTATAATAACATGTCACTGGAATCTGAACATCAATTGTATACATCAAATATATAATATTATAATTTCATTGAGTGCCCTAAGGTCACGTTTTTCCGCGATTCGAATCCTATATAAATTAATATAATAGTATAGTGCTTAGTGATTTTTACGGGTAGAAAAGATAATACTACATTAAAATAAATACAAGTACGGAAATTATCGTTACACGTATTTTTGCAGTTAACTTTAGTCACCTTATTAGTGCACTTGCAGGCGACAAGGTGACGGACTCTTGTCCTCACCTCCACCCAATTGCACACCATACATTATCACGAGATACTTACGCGTTACGAGATTTCAACAATCTCATAATAACTTACTTGTGCACTACTTTAGTCGTCATTTTAACTAATATTATTGAAAATCAAATGAAATTCTTTTAACTGTAGACGATTGTACACCCCTCATATAACACAGTTGCACCGACAAAGCTCCGCCGCCGTTTATAATAAAACTATGTATTAATATTATTTTCACCGGAAAGCGAGCATTTTTATTTTCGTCAGCCAGACGACCCTTTTCTCTCGCCCCGCACATCAAAAAATGTATACCGCGGATACCTCTGTTACATGTTATATAGGGTTAGACGAATATTAATGCACTAAAATATTACACCCACACCCTCGTAAAACACATGTCGCCGGCAATCCTATGATACAGTAAAATACTATAATATAATACTGCACCTTTACGCTCCTCGAAAAGCCTTTGTGCCCGGGACTTCCGTTACGCTTACGACTTTGACTTTGAATTGTGTCTCGTTTTTTGTTTTCCGTCTACATATAATATCCGCGTATACATATATGTGTATGGCGACGTACTTGTTTATCGATCGCTCCTCCGAACGGACGAGACCATAAACATATTTTATACATTTCAATATATATTGTAATACATCGTCGCGGTGCAGAAGATAGATATTATTTAGCTAGCTGGGCGTTTTAGGTCTAAAGTGCAAAGGACCAATTGAAAAGTTCAAAATCGAAAATCCAGTGACCAACCATCGCTTTAAAAAATATTACCACACTATATTGTTTACAACTATCCCCTCATAGGCATAAAAAAATGTACCTAATTAAAAATATAACATTTTTGATTTTTGATTAATATGACAGGCGAATTGCTTTTATTTCTGTCGAGTTGCGCTCGGCACAGAAAAATGTAATTATTGCACTTGTTCGAATCACGTTGCACTCCCAAAAACCTACATCGCCACGGTGCAGTATTCAACTCCACTTAACACCTCATTTACACCTTTCTTTTTTATAAAAAATGTATAATATTATTCTCTTATACAGTTAAATTAAATCACAGCCACGTTCGCTTTTTAACGATTTGTTAATCACTCGGCGCAGACGTGAGAAAGATATCTACACGCATGCAAAATTGTATATAATATAAAATGTTCAACTAAAATTAATATGTTCTTAATATGATCCAATAGTGCAATAAACTTAATTTTTTTTAAGCCGAGTGCCAATTGAACATTTTAGCTTAGGAGAACATTTTACACGTTCCGTGAGAGGAAGTTCGGACCCCGAGTCCACACCTCTTCCTCCCCTGAATTGTGTGTACGCTTTTGGTGTTTTCCCGCTGTCTTTGCTGAATGATAAACGTTAGATCCAGGTTAATCGCATAATAGAAATAATAGCACAACACTATTTTATATTCCCTATTCCCTAACATTATTTATATATTATTATAATATAATTGTACCTACGCGGCGTTTTAATATTGTGTGCATTAGTTAGCACCAGTTTTGTGAGTTTAAATGAAATAACGCACGCATCGCCGTCGACGCTTAAAAAAGTTTGTCTTTTGGTCGAATCGTGTTCAGAAATTCTATTATAGATAGTCGCGCACCTTTATAATAAACATAATATGTATTATTATTATTATATTATGTCTAATATATAGCTTATAGTGTAGAGTTTTATTTATTTAATTATTATATTATTATTATTTTTTTGACTGCCATCGTGTAAACTATTATATGAATATATTAATTATTATTAAATGTAATATGTATTTTAATGTCAGCCGATAGAATTTCGCTTTTAACTAGCTGTAATAATATAAAGTCATTTGATTAAGAGCCAACTGTGTGTTTCATTTTTAAATTATTATATGAATAATAAACATTATAAACAAAATGATTTGTGTAATTTTTAGTCAACATTTCTACTTACCTACCACCTAACTACCGGCTTCTATATGTGTCTGTACCTGCCTTTATATGTATATAAATCAATCATCAGGTCTTATGATGATTGGGTACAAGAAACAAGTTCAGACAAAAACATATACACAGAACACGTTGTCAAAAGTCCATAATCAAGTACAAGTTTTTTATTATAATTTTCTTTTTCGTCAAAACATAAACTTGCCAGGTTGATTTAATTTGCTTTTCAAGTCATCGAGTCTTAAAAAGTATACCTGTGTTTTGACTGAACTTGTAATCTAATAGTTGTATAAAGCATGCACTAGTATACCTCCGTACAGTTGTACCTAAGTCTGAGGTTTTTTTTTTTGGTTTAAAAGTTATCTACTTAAGTACCTAACTATTATACAATAATAATTTGAACAACGATTTTGTTAATCTTTTAACTATACTTACGTTCGCTTTCATTTTTAAAATACATGTAATGTATACATATTATGTTACAGGAAATGTAAATTCTTTTAAAAAAATATTCGTTCTTAATATTATATAGGTATTCCTATTTATGTCAGTAAATTATATTGCTGAGTAATGAAAAAATTTAATTTGATTTATTTATTTTTTAACTCTCATTAGGTACTTGAAAGTTGAAAAAAATAAAAACAGGATCGCGTTATTTCCATTAAATGTTGGTAACTTTGAAACAATGAAAATTACGTTACAAACAATGTCACGTTGTACAGCAACACGTTACTATCGTTAAGTTACTCCCCAACATCGGAAAAAAAGATATAATATTTAGAAACAAATCATATAATAATCTAAAATTTTGCTTGAACATGTTCAACATTTTGACTCGACTGCGGTAGAAAGATCTCAAATTATGGTTCCGAAAAGTTCTAGTAACAGGCGAAGTACTTGATGCTTTTAATAGGTAAAAATTAAAAATTCCCCAAATTTCTTAATAGTTTTCTTAAATAGTTGTTATTTAAAATGTTCTCAAATATTTTTGTAAACCGATGGCATTTAATATATATAAAAGTATTTTAAATATTGAATACCCTCAATACTTAAATATTTACAAGGATGAAATAGAATATAATATGTACCAATAAAGTATTTAAGCGTTTTGATCGTTGTCAACATATAGGCGAATAGTCCAAATTGTTTAGCCGACTTGCATAAGCTCCTTTTAATTTTTTTTTTTTATCCTGAGGGATATCCCCTTTACAGTTAAATACTGTTATAAATTATGTTACATAAATTGCATCGTGTGCATTCAATATTTAGATATTTAACAATAGGATTAGCTGTAGACATACTAACGTATTATAGCTGTTATTTGTGGTGAATTATTAAATGGTCGAGTCATATATTATTCTCTTATTCAGACTGCGTATCGCCACATTTTCTACGTATAATAAAACAATAATTGTATCGTGTTTAATTTCAAGATTGGGAATTGGTGTGGCAGGGTGGTTGGCTGCAGTCACAGATGTAAGACTCCTGGATGAATGACCATCACCCGGGTTCTTGATGACAAATCGTTTCAACAAAACAAGTGTTTCTCGACCAAAATTTAAAAAAAATACAATTTATGATTTATTTATAACGACAGCAAAAAATGTAAAGAAAGTTTAAAAACATAATAAAGTTTGTATTTACAATAACATAAAGTATTAAAATTGTAGAACGTTTAAATGCCCACAAACGTGAAAAAGATAGATTTTTTTTAATTTTAAACCTTGCAAATTACCTATAGATTTTTCTTATAGTTATGATGGCATTTGTTTCACACTTTCACATGTATGGAATTTGATAAATCTTTAGAAATTAATAATATGAATGTTATAAATTATAATTCATACTAATAATATTATTTATTGATAATTACACTTTGACATTGGTATATTTAAATTACATAAATATGACACGTGGAGTTAAAAATATGCAATTTATGTTTTAATAATCGTGGTTTGAAAAAAAGAAATCATAATTTTTGTAAAAACCATTTATGAGAAACTTTATGTTATTGTTACCAGCTATATTATTATTAAAATTTAAAATTGAAATAAAAAAGTCGTTTACACATTTTTGAAATTTTGAAGACTTTCATAACATCTTAAAACTATAAAAATTATTTTAAAAAAACCCTTTTTTATTTTTTAATAATAACTTCCTATGAGAATAATGTTTTAAAACCCCTTTTTACATTTTCTAGCTTTTCAACGATCCAGAAACATAAGTCTTGTGCGAATCTCAAAACAGTCAAAACACAACAGATCACCTTAAATGAATAAGAATATTTTATGGTACATTTGTATTGCTATAGGTTAAAGTGATTTATTTTTTTATTAGTAAAACATTAAAATGGTCTGTCGGCCTATAATATTACTAATTAAATTGTATGATATTATGGTGATTAAAGTGTTTTATTTTACTACAGAAGGTTAAATTAATTTTTGACGAAAAAATTGCATTTGATAATATTATTGTGTGTTCAATATAATAATGTACTCTAAAAGTCTCATCAGTACTCACGAATAATATTTTTAAATTATAAAACAATTTTAATTTTTATTTATTTATTTAAATCTTATTAGTATGTTATTTCGTCCAAATTTGAATAAAAAAAGTCTGTCAAAAATAACTGTTAATATATTTTTTAGATTTGGTTACAGTATAAACTATTTATGAGAATTCTTGTTTAAAATTTTCACCATTTTGAAATTTTTTAACTACGAAATAATTTGAACATTTTCCAGATTTTGAGAACGATAAATCGATCCTATAGATTTAATACTCATCAACTACTATTATAACAACATAATATAATTAACCTTGTATTAAATGTTCAATCTTTTTGACCCAACAAATATAACACTTTATAGAATAAAAAACTAAAAAATTTCAAATGTCAAAAGTGCTTACATACTTCAAAAAAATTCCACAATAATTTTAAAATATATTAAAACTTGACATTTTCATAGGTCTATAAATAACTTAATAAGAATCATAAATTATGATTCATAATATTTCGCAAGCTACATATATTATGGTTTACCCACTTAAAAATTGCTAACATAAATATTCAATAACAATTTCATATATCTATGATTATTTTTTTAGAGTTCACTAAAACACTAAATCAATTAATTTTTTCAAAAACTGGTTTTGAGTAAACATCTCAGTTTTTCCTGGTGCTTTTGAAAAGGATTGAGCATTTTTTACTTTGGACCCCTAAAGTATCGACTAGATTCATTTTCCTACTAGAAAAAAATATGTTGAAAAAAATCAAAACATTTTTACTGTCCCAAAAGGTGCACGCATCACTGTAAAATCAATCACTTAGAATCTAATAACAAAAATTGTTATTTTTTAACTTTGTGCTAGTACATTTCTTAGATTTTTCTGAAGGACATAATATTGAGTCCTTGATAAAATTAGATATTAAACAAAAAATAACAAATTTAATTATTTTGCTCAAATTAAAAAATATTATTCGTCATTTGAGGGAACTTGAAACTTTTACGTTTATTATTATATTATACATACTACATATACAATGACATTTACGATTTACATTATTTATTATTGAATTTAAATTTAACATAATATACATTGTACAGTTACTCATTGATGAGGCATACTCTACACGACTACACCTACCGCTGTACAAAAGATCGCTTACCTAATTTCGACATTTTTTTTCATTATTCTGAAAATGTTTTATTTTGGCACTTAGTTCATATTATTATGTCGTTCAAAAGAAGTATCTGATTTAAGCCCACAGGGCAGCAAACACCTATGTGTAAATGTGTAATATAATATTATTATGTCACATCCATATCGCGTTATTATCCATTTCGTGAAATTGACGACAAGGTTACACATATACATATTATATATTTTACGAAACGTAACATCGATTTTTCCACTTCACGTGATTAATAATATCACACAATATGGATAGCATTTCACGAAATGGATACCTACCTGAAAGGCTGAACTAACAAAACTTTTTACGTTACTTATTAGATTTTGAAATCCAGTTTTGCGAAATAATGAACTTTACGTACAAACTAATTTTGTTTATCCCAATTTAATTTATTTCTCGATCCATTACTATTAATTTGACAAGTTTATTATTATTATTGAAAAACATTTTTTATTTTTTTAGATGTTTACTCATATTTTTTAATTATTGTCTACATTGGCATTTTATATAAATATATAAATAAATCTTACCTTGCATTTTATTATAATTATTAAATCGGAAATTTTAACATTCACCGATGCTTTTAAATCTTAGATACAACTCGTCACCCCACAAATCGGTGGAACAATAGTTTTATGATTCTGGTTGTGTTGGAAAAGAATACTTGCTGTACGATCTCGATTTGAGGTGCTTAGGGTGGTACTTATGTACGTGGTATAATACATTTTAAAATAATTTATTAGAAAAAACAAATAAATATCGTGCTAGTTGTTTTTCATACCTAATTATTCGGTTATGTTTTCGTGAATATTTCAAGTCATTGTTCTCATTAGTTTCACCAAAATTTTTTAAGTCGTGTATTTTTCAATTTATGTAGGTAACACTGGAGTTTGGTTTCATACTTCGAGCAGCTTTTTAAAAACGTTTGTCTGGCCACTGTTTCGAGCCTCTCTTTTTCGTATGGGTTCGTTCGGCATTTTTGCAATGTTTCGCAGC